CATATCTTGCTTTTAATTTTTATATGATGTATATGATGTACAATTTAAAAATTAAAAACTATATTATTATTGTTTTTACTAAAACTCATATTACATAAAGTATTACACAATATTATTATTGTAAGAAAAACACTTGTACTCTTTCAGATATTGCTATAATAAATACTGATAAGTTTCGCGATTCAAGGGTTTTTCAATTTTATTATACGATAGCATCACCTTAAATTATAATATTTTTGTTAAAAGGTATATTTTATACAAATGTACGTAGGACTTATTTAGTATAAAACTCTTATATAGATTATTCAAATATGATAATGATATTGTAATAATTATTGTGTTTCAAAATAAAATCGAACTGTGCTCCACGTAATATGTAATCATATCGAAATAAATTATTTTAATAATAACAATTTCAATTGCATAGGAGTTTTTAAAATCACACGAATAAGAGTTCCTAATGTATGCGATAGATAAAACAAAGCACCTAGCACTTACGCGTTGTCAAAACTGACATAATGTATTTACTGTATACGCAGGAAAGAACAAAACTTTGTCCTTTCAATATTGACACTTATGATTAATAAGGTTATGTTCGACAAAGAAAACTTCGAGAGCAATATCAGAAAATTTGTCATCGGTTTTCCTCTACGCAAATGTTCGGTTTGAGTAGGATTAGATGTTATAAGAGGGTTTTGTAGACCCAATTACAGAGGCGTGGTATTTTAATACCTTCAAAGCCTGAAATTCGAAACAGCATCCGTTGTTGAGTTTGTTAACATCTTAAAATTAATTTTCCTTTGAAATTTTGTCAATTGTCGGTGAAATTAAACGAAGTTTGCCGTTTCTTGACAACGTGAGATGGTTGGCTCTGGTCCAACCATTGTTTCGTACGTATACTTTGCGTAGATAGGTACATAGTAAATGAACTATAGCGAATTTTTAAGCTGTGTTATTTTGTTTTTAAATGGATTTGTCTGGATTTATTTTCTAGATATGATTATGATTTATAATTGAGAGTTTACTTCAGTGTCGATCCCATATTTTGTTATGATAAAAGCTGCTGTTTTTGTTTACGGAGCAAAACATTGCTTATATAGGAGTAAAATTTATTTTTATATGCAATATCGTCGAAATCATAATTAAAAATATTTTCAAGTATTTTGTCGGTGATTTTTGTAGAGCAAAATATAAGTTCTGGTACATATCCGTTGCCAGCATTGTTTACAGAAAAGCAATTAAAATACGACCTTAACTTCGAGCTTGAATGAATTAAGAATTAATTACGGATGAAAATTTGTTTATTCATTAAAAACCATTCCGTCTTTAATATTTACGGCGCAGATGATCTTCAATTTAATCGAGTTCCTCATTTATTGTATTAGTTTTTAAATGGAACCTATTATATGTGTCTTTATGATGCTCTGTAATATTGCTTTTATTAATGAATTCATTGTTGTAATATAAAATATATAATAGATATAGAACAGAGTTTGTATTAATTAATATCTTTAATTGTTTTGTAATGTTTTTAATTTATAATATAAACAAGTTAATGGCAGTTTTGCCATTTTGTTTTTATTAGTTCGAATGATAAGAAAATAGTATATATATAAAATTATCTTAAGAATTAGTAGTAGAAGATTCAGAAAAAGTTCCCTCGTATACTCGTACAGCAGCATGATTCATTTTATCGGTAGCTCAATTTTTTTTTTATTTTTTTAACAAATTTTTTCATTTTTATTTTATTATGATTTAACATTGAAAAATACACACAACTTTATATTTTCATCGTTTTACGATCAACCCCTGTCTTTTAATCGCGATTTTTATATTTCGCAATAAGTGGTAAAACAACGTTATTTATTAAAATTCCAAAAAATGTTTCAAAAATACAATACCATGTTCAAATGTCAATAATTTGAAACTTTACTGCCAATGTCTAAGACAATTAAGCTAAACAACAGAGGTGAATAAATTAGAATTTTTACACGTCTGTAAAACAAAATGTTGCGCACGAATAGATACTTAACAAGGTTATTTTAGGCACATAAAAAACGTGTTAATTAAGTCATTTGTAATTTTATAACCATGGACTCGACTCCGCATCGGCGGGGGCTCTATGGGAAACTGTTAATGGCGTTCAACCGTAACAGGACAACTCCCCGTTCCGGCGGCTTGGCATACTTCCAGTCGACGATTGTGCCTCACTACGGCGATTATTTTCACTACTGCACCATTCAGACTGCTTCGAATCCGACGGTTGAATAGACATGAAAGAAATTTCGTGTGCTCCGCCTGATTTTAATGACAACCGTTCATCTTTTTTGAACGTGGGATATTTGTATGTGGTAAATTTAAATGCCTTTTAAAAGTTTGATGACTCGGTTACATAAAATAATGTTTGCGTTACAAATATCAAAATATTGTATATATATTTATTAATATATTGTATATATATTTATTATATATATATATATATATATATATATATATATATATATAAAAATATATATATATATATATATATATATTTATAAAAAGAATATTTAGTAGTGACTGTGTATATTTATTATTACCTATAGTAATATTGAAAAGAGAAAGATTAGGTCCTTTGTAATACACAAATTAAAAAATAATTAATTGATTTAAAGTACTATTTTATTTATATCCTTTAAATAATTTCAACAATGTACCTACTAAACTAACAATGTATTTATGCGTGTGGCGCCGTAGTGGGTCATTAGTTAACTGTAACCATTGTAAAGCTTGCCACCGATAGGAAATTCACCCTGCTAACTTCACTATTTGCTGTCAGGTGGTCCATATAATTGTTTGCCACTTCAGTTGTTTAAAAAACCTATGTAAGTAAGCTTTTACCTGATGTTCAATGAACGGGAGAACAATATTTTGTTGGGGTTATGTCTGTATATGTTAATCCCGATCTTTGGCATCTTCATCATAAATGGTGTTAATAAATTCCTTTTAATTGTAAGAGTCAGCTAACAGATATATAATATAAAAAAAATATTAACAAACTATTAATAATATCAAAATCACGGCTAAAAGGTTTATCATATTAACATATACGGACTAAAAGGATTATTATATCAAACACGTAAATTTTATAAAAATGGGCTTATGTTTGCATACTTACTCTATGAAATTATGATAAATATTGTGCACGGTAATCCTTTCATGAGTACGAAATGAGGGGTCAAACAATGTTATGCAAAACGAGATTGGTCAAGTCAATTACGTTTCAGATACATTGCTGTTACATATTGGTATTAACATTTAGATATATTAATATATTTTGTGTATATTAATTATCGTGATTGTTGGTACTTGGTGAAATTTTGTATATACAAGTATATTGATATTATTAGAAAACACTTGTACTTTTCAACAAAAAAAATTTTATGAAAAATACGTGGTTGGCCCCCTGATGGCTCGAAATTAATTTCCTGCCATTTATTCAATTGTTTGCATGGGGGAAAAAGTAGTGTAAAAATTAACTTTTAAAAATGCCCTATTTATATTATAATAATGATTAGGTATTTATCAAAAACCTTTTTTTACGAAAGAGCAAGAGCATTTTTAGTACCAATAATATACTCGTATTTGGTTATAATTTTTTATATAACTTTTGGTGTTATCCATATATAATATATCATCATCATAATTTTAGCCGTTAACTGTCTACTGCTGATTATAGGCTTCCCCCTGTTTTGCCAGTACATATACATGTATGCATTTACAAAAAACAGTATGTCTATTGTTTTGGAACTAAATAGCGTTGTGTAGTTTGTCTAGTGGTATTTATTATTATTATTACTTCATTGTACACATTGCTTATAATTCTATTCCAGATAGAAAATTTCATTTGACAGATAATGAAATTCAACCATAAATTAAGGCAGTACCTGTTCTGAATTCAATTTAATTACGTTGAAGTAAAGGTTCAGTTTTACACGACAACAACAAAGTTTTGTTGACAACATTATTTATTAAATCAAACTTCTTATTTACAATAGAGTGGAAGAATATTTTTCTATTTATCCATAATAAATATTAACTGGCATGAACTTCAATTGGTGAATTCTTATCCCTTTATCTCTCTGGCGTCTGATCAGTAATTGTCCATAAATTTTACTCGATGCGTGCCGTACTAAAATTAAGATCAATACGTTACCAGTATTAATGATCATAACAAAGAAAGAACATTCGTATTATATTGACATCTAAGATTTCAAAACTTACAATTAAATTTACCAAAATCTAAAATAAAGTTTTCATTTATTTTATAATGTTTAAATTTTCAAATAAAGTTTTCAAATAGATGACAAATTAATAATTCCAATAGTTCCAATATTTCAGTGGCAGATTAATAAAACATTAGTTTTAGTCTGGTATTCTAGAAATACCTAACATTTTTAATTTGATAGAATAAAACAGATGTTGCCAGTCTTATAATAGTACATATAAATAAACACTCTTTATTTGTTTTTGTAATAATAATTAACTTTCAACATGAATTTGTCTGTGTGACTGAGGTAGGTAAATTGTTTAACTGGGTTAAAAATAAGTCTATAACTTGTATTTCAAATACATTCGACTAGTCTAGAAATGTGCAGCAGCGTTCCTCTTAAAACATCACCAAATCCTAACTGCGGTTGCGAACCCGTCTGCCAAGCGTGGCAACTACAGGCAAACCCCTCTCTTACGGGGCTTACGTTTAGCAGTGGAGAATATCTCAAGAGATAAAAAACAATTAAATTAACTCCCTTTTACATAATATTAGTTATTAGAATTTGCTTAGTATAAGATATAACCTTAATAAATATATAAAGGTATCTTATTAATTCAAATTGGTTTGTTGCGTCATAATAACATGAACAGGTAAGATTATTATGCTGGCAACATTTATATGGATTTGTCAGAACAATACAGGCTTATTTATTCCACAGCGCTTATATATATTCTTCAAGTATAAGTAGAGATGGGCAATCCACCTGGGTGGGTTTAAAGTCTGGTGGGTAAAAACCGGGTGTTTTGGGTTTATTGGGTTTAAACCCCATAAACACCCAAATTTTTGGGTGTTTATGATTTTGTACTTCATCATCGTCATCTCAGCCGCAAGACGTCCACTATACTGGACATAGACAATATTATTATGCAGCCTACAGAATAAAAAACTTTTAATTTGATTTTGAGTTTATTAAGAAAGAGATGAAAGTAAAATGTAAAACTACAGTCAATCACTGTCAGATTCAGAGTTATTACAAGCGATGAATTGTATAGGTTCGATAGGCTCTATTTCGTCTAAACTGTTATGTTCATTTACTTGCTCAATGAAAGCTTCTAAGGTATTTTCTTCATTAAACTGAATGTCCTCGCATTCAGCTTTATGTTTAAGATTCCAGTTATAACAAATGAATGAAATTTTTTCACTTCTTTCAGTTGTAAGTCGATTTCTTTTGTTATTATGTATGTAGCCTTGGATACTAAAGGAACGCTCAGTGGCTGCCGAAGTACAGGGAGCTGATAGAATACGAATCGCTACTTTGCTTAACTCAGTGGAACCACAAATACCTTTCCACCATATTAGGGGCTCAATGCTATCTAATGAGCTCCATACAAATCCTCTGGCCCAAAAGTTTTCTTTAGCTTTATAACACGCCAAATCTGCCATTACATTTGACAAACTTAAGTGTTGGCTTAAATTGTAGATAAACTCCATACCCTTAAGTTCTTCCTCTTGAGTAAGTTCGACTCCTAGAGTCCTGGGGTCTAGAATATATGCTGCAAAATGTATTGGCCTCATTGCCATATTGCATCTTGAAGATACTGATGTTAGAATCTGCTGTTTGCTTTCTTCGCTCAATGTCGAAATCTCATTTAATGCAAAACGTATCTTAGCTTGTACATCTCTAAATGTAATGTATGTGCGATGCAAACGATTCTGGTCGCTCTCTAAGTAAAATATGCTTTCAGTGACTGGTTCCAAAATACTTATACATTCCCCTGTCTTCGTCCAGAAATCATCACTTAGAATTAAATCTTTAATATCTCTTGAAATTACCACATCTTCTCTAACTGTTAATATTTGCAAAGCTATCTTATTTGCTTTCAAACTTTTTAACGAAGTAACATGACTTCCCCATCTTGTAGCACAAGGCAATTTTAGTGTTTGTGTAGAATCTTCACCCTGCCTTGATTTTATCAACAAGGAACTTAATCGTTGACTCCTTTTAACAGTTTTTATTATATTTATGGCTTGCATAATAAACACAGTTACTTCTTGTATCTTTACAATATCTTGGCACAACAAGTTAAGGATATGTGCACAGCAACCGAGAGGAACAACATGTGGATATTTGAGTTTTGTTAATTCGAATGCCTTTTGTATATTTCTAGCGTTATCGCCAATAAGTACAAGAAACTTATTTGCTCCATACACTTTCATTACTTTTTCAACTTCTTGGCTAAGGTATTCACTAGTGTGAGGATTACTTTCTGTATTCAAACTTTTAACGTATGCAGGTTGAGGTTTTGATATAAGAAAGTTTATTATTCCTTCATTTCTTAAATTAGACCAGCCATCGCACTGAAGGTGTAAGTAACTACAAGCATTTAGTTCCTCATTTAACTCAAAACGCATTTCTCTATATATTTTATCTAAGTATTTTGTCGCTAAAGCTTTACGTGAAGGTATTTTAAATTTTGGTTGCAATTTTTCGAAAAATTGTATCCATAAAGGATGTTGCACCATCGATAATGGCGTCCCTGTTACAAATATAGCTCTCGCTAATTCTGTTTTTATATGATCATCGGTGTCTTGAAACTCAGCATTTATTGTAGTGTTAGCAGACGACGAGGGGCTTATAAAAGAATCATTTGTCTCTATCTCTGACAGTCCAGACATTTTGGTTTTGGACGAGCTATCTTTTATAAGTTTCATAGAGTCTTTTAATGTTTCTGGAGATTTTGGACAAGTGATAAGATGTTGAAGCATTTTGGCAGCATTACTGAATTTGTAGACCTTATTACAAAGCTTGCAAGAAACAGACTTGTTTGGTAAAGTACGGTAGTGCTCCCATATGCGTAAATCTTTAGGTCTCCCCATTGAACCTAAAAAAATGAACGATGATTAGTTGGTCTGACGAAAATTCAATAATAGAGTGCCTATTTTTTTACAATGATTATTTCTTGTTATTTACAATAAATTTATTAAAAAAATAATAAAATAAATACAAAAAACCTTTGTAAAATTACATCTCCTCGGAGGATTAAACGCAGACGCTAGTTTATTATCGTATTGTTCTGTATTTTTCTCAGCAACTTCTTTAATTCGATTAGGTACTTACGCATATTATGTTAAAAATAAATATCTAGTACACATCTTAGGCTATCCACCATTATTATCCAATGACGACTCTCAGCTAACTATGCACTATCATCCAAAATAAACGTGTATGGAAAATTTTATCCCAGTCGGTTGAGGATTGAGGATAATTGCATCAACATACGAACATACCTACATACTTTTATTTACATAACGCAAGCTAAATAAAAGCTTGTAATAATACATCTAATTTTAAGTTAAAATTGTTAAGTGATCATGATATAATTGTATCATTCAAAAATCCACTTACCTTTAATTATTTCTTGTTAAGTATAAATATTATTTCAAATCTGCTCCCTTAATATGCACTTTTTTACTGCTTTTCCTACCTAACACGTTACCAGGAAGTCACGTTACCAGAGTCAGAGTAATAGTGAACACGTTTGACAGTGATTGTCGTCGCCTCATATTCAGCGTCGACGAATAGGGGAATCCCCAGTCATAATGTATTGCATGCGTGGCGGTCTTACTTCAAATCCATAAACAAAGAGATAATTACAGAACTCGATACTAGATGGCGCTGTTTTTGTTTGAAGAAAGTTTGCGGGCTAAAATACATAGAATTTCATCAATGACTTCCACAAAGAACAACATTTCTGTTTTTTCTAAGTCCGTATCTCTTCCGTATATTTCATAAGATATAAGCTTGGGCTACATTGTTATGCAACGTGATTTTGTCGCTGTCTTGCTAGCAGGGTTGACAGATATACGATTTAAATCGTACTCATACTATTATTTGTCTATTTTTTAATGTACGATCGTAAAGATTATGATCGTAATTCGCACAAAAACATACGACTTTTTGGTTACCTGGCAACATTTTTATTATGAAACGAACATGCTCACATCATCAGTCACATGCAACAATTTATTGGGGATTTCCCCTTCACATCTGGCAGTCCTGCTTGCTAGAATATAGGTAAGTCAGCCACAGTTACTGACGATCGATATTTAAAGGGTATTGTTTTTGTGCTAAATATTTCATAAAAACGTTATTTAATACTTTGTGGATTATTAATTTAGTTGATAATCACTGGAAGTAAAATGGATGCTAATTTGAGAGATCAAGATCTTCGTATAAAACAGTTAATAAAAGAAAATCTACGTAAGTACTCTTTTTATACCTAGGTAGGTAAGGTATAATAAACACAAAAGGTACTTAGATCGCGTGTGTTCGAAGCATTTATTCTAATAAATTTAATTTAAAATTGTAGAAAGAAAAAAATGTCTGCCAAGCCGTAGCCGAAGCCGATCTCCAAATATATTTGGCGATAGTGAGACCCAGTGTCCAGATGATTTACCCAGCGTCGTCGCAACAAAGAAAAAAAACGAGGATAAAGTAAAAGAAAATTTACTGAAAGAAGAAACAAACTGTTCTAAATGCTTAATTTATGGAGAAGAGGATAAAAGAAATGAGTATTTCGGACTGTTAGTGGCTCAAGAATTTAAATATATACGGCCATGTGTGCGAACGAGGTGTTATGAAGAAATTTTAAAGTATCTACGGGAAGCAAAAGGCCAACATGTTGATCAACTGCAACATGAAAACACTGAAAATTAATTACTTTCATTTTATTATATATAGATTTTTAAAATTTCCTGAAATATTATTAGTTAACGTTTTATTTAATATTGTAGAATTGATCAATACAATTTATAAAAATAATTTATTGGTATTACTTACATATTTTCAAAAAATACGTAAAAACCTATTTTTTTGGGTGATTATGGGAGTTTATGGGTGTTTATTGGGTTTTTACCAAAGCACCGGGTTTAAACCCGGTGCTTTGCCCATCTGTAAGTATAAGTGAATACAGACAACCAAGTTGATGGATTGAATTTGTAACCCAATAATGTTAACGTGCCAAGTTGCAGCGTAATGATAAACAGGTAGGTTGTATTATATTTTTCATTATTTTTTTGGTTATGTAGCTACATTCATTTTATTTTGATGTTTTATGAATTAAATATGGTATGTGCGCAGATTCGTTAAAATGAACTAAATCGCTGCAATTAAAAATATTTATTTTGTTATATAATAAGATTTTTTATAATCGCCCAGAGTCTTCTGTGAGGTAATCAGAGAAAAAGTAATACCTGCAGACAATGTAGATGTAATACTATTTTATATCTGGTAATTAAAGTCCATTATTTGTTAACAAAATGCAAAATGGCACATTTTGAGAGAGCCTCTGTTCAAAAGTGGAATAATGTAAGCTGATAATTATGATGATTTGATAGTACGTATATGGATGCTTATAACTTTATTAGTACTTAATTTCTAATAGTAACCTAGTTCCTTGTTCTGTTCTGTACCAGAGGATTATTAGATTTCTTTATAAATACGAGTATTTTCAGAGTTTTGCAAAATGATAACCTTTTTTACGCTAAATGGTCTTAAAATTTTTGATCAACAGTAATTTCTTAGAAATATTTTATTAGAATTCTGGTAGTAATTTGTAACTGGTAACCATTTCGACAAATTAATAAGATATATTTTATTTTATTAAGGGTATAAACTGTAACGAATAAGAAAATAAATAACGAAAATTATTTTAATAATTTTCGTTATATACTTTAATTTCAAAAACCCGTTTTTAAAATGAGTCAAATCGATAGCTACAGATCTTGACTATTGCGTATCCAATACGAACTTGATCGGTTCTGTTCTTCTCCGTAGTCTATAGATCACTATCCGAATCTCAAAACCAAGACAATTCAGATCATAATGGTAATTAATAAAACCATTACTTCCACTATTTTACTAATTACGTTAATAAATACCATTGGAAACCCTTCATGATCATCCCATCCATTTGGCCGTCATAATTACTTCGGCCCTTGTAAAATACCGTTATTGGTAGGTATACTACGGTGGTCGACGCTCGAGGCGGGCAATGCATAGGAATTGTCAATTTTCACTAATGGAACTATAAGTACATGTGAGCATGTGTGAGTTCGTTTGTGAGATGGTATATTTATTCTTATTTTATATCGTAATTGATAATTAAATTAGTATTGATTTGTTTGTATCAGCCGTTAAATAGCCACTACTGTACATAGCTTCCCCCATGAGGAGGGTTTTGCTAGTAGTTGCTACGCTTGGCAAACGGGTTGGCAACCGCAGTATGGCTTTTGGCGATATTTTAAGAGAGACGCTGCTGCCCAACCTTTTATCATAAGCTCCCTTAGTCGTCTCTAATGTCACCCATGGGAAAGGAAGGGGTGACCTATTTTATACCGGACCCTACACGGCTATAGTATAGTAGTTTAGTATTTATTTACACCGCTAGAATATAGTAAACTTTAAGTTTAGGTATTCCACAACATATGCTTATAATTTATTTCACACTAGCTATATTCAGCGGCTTTACCTGCATGAATCAGTGCATAAAGTATCCTTGTGCTGAGTTAATATATAACCTGCATATTTACTAAATTTCATTCAAATACTTTCAGTAGTTTTTACGTAAAAGAGAAACGTACATCCGTCCGTCCATCTATCCATCCAGTATTGTTCCAAATTATTCCTTATATTAACAGGATTGAATAATACAATATAAAAAGAACTCAATGCTATATATACTTAAAATAGCTACCGATACAAATGTTAAATTATTATGAATAAATTGAAAATAGTAACAGTCGAGTTTCTTACGAGCTCTTCTCAACAGATAACATTTCGAACCCAGTAGTAGAATCATGATCATACTTTCTCTTGTATCATTGTATTATGCTTTGTTCCTTTTACCGTATTATATAATATGTTGGGGTTAAAAAGGAATAATTAAACGTAGTGAATGTCTTTACTAATATTATAAATTATGATTACGTCTTAACGGCTGATCACTATGAAATTTGGCAGACACGTACTATGCAAATTGGACTTTCAATTCCGTACTATGTCTCCCATTTGGATCGTTGCATGTGTGATATTCATGTACTATATGAGATGGAGAAGAATATAGGCTAGTTATAGTTTTTATGGGAATGGGTGTTAAACTTTATAATGAGACACCAAAGGATATTTTGGGTCTACTTTTTAATAAGTTTAAAAAACACTTATTGAACAAAACTTACTACACACTAAATGATTACTTGAAAGACAAATGTGTATTAGTCGATCATGTACAGGCTTTTGAACAAACATTTAATTATAGATATAGTACATTTAAATAAATACACATAATGTTAACAGAGATTTAAAAAACTCAACTCAGCGGTTACCGTTGAGTTTCTTGTAGGCTCTTCTGAATAGATAACAACTTTCCGAACCCTGCATTCATAAAAAATGACGATATAAAAGTTCTTGTAAACAAGTCTACTTGAATAAACATGATTTGAATTCTAACTTGAATATCCCGGTCAGTAAATACATACCAAACATGAAGTGTTGCGGATAAAAGCTTATTTTTATACTTTTGAGGTGGCTAACAGACATACGCATATTTTAAATATACTATCGGGACTTAACGCGATGAAAAAAATTTCAAGTAAATAGTACCTACATATTTGTTTATTTATTACTGATGTTAAAATTATGTATTTAAAACATGTGTAAATATCGCAAAAGTTTAAATTTAACTAAGCCCATCTGATGGTAAGCAATTACCGTAGCCTATGAACGCCTGCAATACCAGGGATATCAGGATTGTTAGTAATGGAGACTGAGAATCCCATTACTAGCAATATACCCAACCAGGTCGACCTCCTCGCGGTTTTCCCTGGAAACTATCATGGTTAATTCCTGATGAATTCATCATGATGGGCTAACTGGCCTGTTTTCATTCTCATCTATCACCCTTACTGGTGCTCCGCCATCGTATTCCGTTAGTGCAGGCGGGGTGGTTACCATACCATTTTCACCCATCAAAAAAAACCTCTTTGCCCCTTTTATGAAAAAACCCATATTGTAGTCTAATAATTATATGTAATCTGTATGTTAGTTCAACCATTAAAGCGATTGATAAAAGGAGATTATTAAATCGTCTAAGTTTTTATGGCTATGCCCTGCAATTGCGTTGCTAATTCAGAAGCAATTTTCATAAATCTTTTACATAGATAAGGTTTATTTTCCTGTTGGTCACTAATTAATTTTGTAATGATTCAAGGTGTTGTTTTCCTTTGCGGAGTAAAAAACTGCTTGTAACGAAGTAAAAATTACTCTTTCAAACGTATTTTGAATGAAATGTGTCTGTGAAACCTCGTCGATAATTGGAATTGGTATATATGCAATTGAAGTAGTAGTTTTAAACTGATTGGGAAAAAGGTGGAAAGTTTCAATTCGGTTGTATTTTTTTATGTTTGCTACCTTTTAACTTTATTAGTTATAAATTGATTTGGAATTTTTATCTGAAAGGATATACTTTCAG